TTTTTAAAGTGGGTGGGGTGTGAGAAATGTGTTACGTACAATTTATGCACCAAGTTCGTACTGATCATGGGGTGTGAACTATAAATCAAGTACAAACTGTCTGCGAAAGAAATTTTTTTAGCACGTATTTAAAATAAAGCAGGCTTCTATTGATTCGAATCAAACAACGATAATTAAAACGCATAATTGTCGCTTTGTGTCATTTTAAGCGCGCACACATGGCCCGGTGTGCATTTCCCACACCAGCGTTGAAGTCACTTTTGTTATCTTCACTATTTTGATAGCGAGAGCAGATAATAAGCCACCATGCTCGGCAAGCTAATTAAGGTTCTCTTGGCTTGAGTTAGAATGACCAAGGTTTGCGGAAATCTGTGTGGATCCGTCGAATGAAAACACCTCGAAGGTTCGCCATTCTCAAGCATTGAGCGGTAGATACGAATCACTGTTTTCGTTTCTTTTTTAAAGTATATTTTATTTTTGCGAAAGATAAGACGTGTGGAAGTGTATGAATGTGACGCGTCTTTGTTAAGCGTGTTTAGAGGACTTTTACAGTAGTTTAAATAAATTCACTTTCTTTTTAAAGGCCGAGGCGTGCGTACCACACTATCGATATGTTCGATTTAAGAATTCTCGAAAATGCATACCTGTATTTATTCTTAGTTTGAAGGTATAATGTGTATACTACGTTTACTCTTTGAAACACATTTTTCTTAATTTGATGTCTGAGAAAGAAATCTTGCAAGCTAAAACAAGATGGAGGCCAGTTTAATTTATGTAGCCTTTAGGATGTGCTTACGTTTGTCAACAATGTCTTTGTTTGTACGAGGTCAAGAAAAATTCAACCGAATGTGTGGACCAAGTGAACATGTAAACGCAATAAAGAAAAACTATCGATAGTAAAATAAAAATATTGATAGCTAGGATAACCCAGAGGTCACCCTGGCAATATCCCACACTGCCTGGTGATGGTTACAAAAATGCAGAAGGCAAGCGAATTGGCTCGCAAGGGGAGGAATCATACTTTTGGTTTCTAGGCTAGGTGGCACAAGCTACCGCCCATTATAAAGGGTACAGCCAACGTTGCTTTTTGGTACATCTATTAGCATCCATCCCTCTATTCGTTAAACTATCGATAGTCGACCATCGCAAAAGGATAAATAGTATTATCTATAGCACACTGTCGTAAGTCTCTAACTTACACTAACTTACGCTGAGCTTCTATAGTGAAACCCGTTTAGAACGAACCCACGTCGATATCGAACCCACGTCGATTATTGTCGATATCGAACTCACGAAAAATTTAAGTAAAAATGCATGTAAAAAGTACTTTTTATAACGAACGACACATTGGCTATATCGTACTTTTTCCCCCGGGAAGGCTTCTAAAAACGCGCAAACAATCGTCTTCTAGCCTGTCCCTCTCTCTCCCCCCCCCCCCCCTCCCAAGAAAAAAAGAAAAAAGAAGTAGGAAAGTAAGAAAATTCCAAAAACTCAAGTTGCGAACAAAATTGAGCGAAGAGAAGCGATTCAAAAGGAGAGAAAGCCAAAAAATACACTCTGCACGCACGCAGAGAGAAAAAAAAAAGTTTTTTCTTTCATCGCAAAGCATTTTGCCCATGAAGAGAAGCGATTCGGAAGGGGAGATAAGCTAAAAAAAACTGCACGCATGCAAAAAGAAAGAAAAAAAAGAAGCTTTTTAACGCATTGTTACGAGGCTCCTGCCTTACAACGAATGCATCGTGTAAGTTCGTCGTAAATGTTTTTTTGCTAAATCAAACTACTTGCTATATCGAACTGATCGTAGCGTTTCCCGCTGTTCGTCATAAACGGGTTTGACTAATCGCTTTTATTATCCTAGCTATTTGATAGGGAGTACAGACAAGAAGCTACATGCTCGGCAAATTCATCGAGGTTCACCTGGCTTGTGTTAGGATCGTCGAGATTTGCGGATATCTGTGTGGGTCCGTCCATTGCGAACACCCCAAAGGTTTGCGATTCCCAAGCAGTGATCGACAGCCACGAATCAGTATTTTTTAATGCGTTAGCATTCGAATGCTCGTTTTGACGAAAACCAACCAACGTTCTCTTCTTCACTTGTCTCTGTCCCTTCTACTTTTAAGTTTCTGTTTCTACCCCAGTCTCGGGTTAAGTTCCATCATGGTGTCTTTCGTTTGGTAGCGCAGGCGAGAGAGGAAGGAGGGAGAGAGGGTGACGCGTGCAACTCTCCCATTCGTCCGGAGCACTGACGTCAGCACACGTCAACCTCTCCCTCTCTACTCGGAGCTGACAAACTGACAGACACCGCCGGGTTTTCGTCAAAACGAGCCCTTTCGTTTTCGTCAAAGTCACGCGCTCAGCTGGCGCGGAGCCAGAGAGGAATCGCCTCGCAACACCTCCTAGATAATAAAGCCGACGTGCTGAATAAAATGACGTCATCAGAGAAAGCCTACGCTGGGCACAGATTGGAAATGACTGCTGCGCAGTGTTGCCAGACGGATAAAAAAAAAGTCAGCAGATCGGTCTCCAAAAAGTCAGTAGATTTGAACAAAAATCATTAGATTCTACGAAATCTGTGTTTTGCCATGTTTTGCCATTTTCATTAAACCATTTTTCGAAGAAATACTGTAGAGCAACAAATGAGATACTACAGAGCAACAA